GTGGGGGCTGCTGGTCCAGCCCAGTGCCCCAGCCTCGGTCTGCTCCGAGCGGAAGGAGCCCCGGTGCCGGGCAGGGACCGAGCACTGGCCACCATCTCCTCCAGGGCTACGGGCGAAGCCGTCACGTCTCACAGCTGATCCCTGATTTTGAGCAGTAGCTCAGGAGACTTTGACAGGGGCTGTTAAAAGGGCGCAGCTGGAAACTGTGTTACTTGGAGAAACGAGAAGGGCAGCGCTAGCGCAGGGGGTGTTTTAGAGGACTGTGCGCTTCCCGGGCAGCTGCAGCCAGGTCTCTGGATTTTTCAATGCCGAAAAGAGCTCAGGAGCCAGCACAGACCCAAAGGAGCTCATTTGGCCCGATGTGCTGAACTGATGCTGAGCCACCTGGGGACACTGAGACAGCCTCTGCCTGGGACAACCTGGGAAACACCCCTAGGTCAGCGCTACACCAAAACCAACCCAGAAAACAGGTTATGCCACGGGAAAGCAGGAACCTCAGCAGCCTGACCAAGAACACCAGATTTTCCTGATTTTTCTGGCTGATTTCTTCAGTATCACACAAACAAAACACCCACTCCCCAGCACAAATAAAGCCAGTTTGCTGCTCGAAGCGTGAATAAAAGATCAGGTGTCAGATCAACTTAGGCGCTGGCGCAGGGGGGAAAATGTGCCCAAACTGGATTTGCACAGTAGTATCTCCTTACAGGGGAAAAAAAAAAAAAGAAAGAAAGAAAGAAAAGAAGGAGACCTGCCAACGAAACGTAACTCACGGAAAACACGGCCGGGGCCCGCGGGGGATTCGACAGCGGCGGGGTGGTTCCTCTCTGGCTGCCTGGGCTCAAAGCCTCGGAGACAAGCAGGGATGGGTTAAAACAGGGCTAAAAGCGCATGCGAATCGGCAGGGACGCGAGCGGGGTCTTCACGCAGCTCCCCGCTCGGCGACCCGCTGAAGGCCTGATCCTGATCCTGAGCCTGACAGCGCTGCCTGCTCCCGGCGCCCCGCCCGCCATCCCAGCCTGGCTCCGTCCCCGCTCGC